GCATAGTATTCAGGTAAATCATTACTCTCATCTGCAGTGTAACATTAAATAAATCAGAGTGGTGGTATTTCTACCACGTTAGGTGCTAGAAGAGTGCTAGGATAGTTGCTCATGTGTGTCACATTAGAACAGCAGACCTCCATCAGTCTGATGTGCGTGTTTGAAACTTCCCAGCAACACTGCCTGTAAAATGCAGTATTGTGTGAAAGACACACTGCTACTGTACTAATGTACAGTGTTTTCTTATGACGAGGGCAGGTTCAAAGCCCAGAATACGCCTATCAGAAGGAATAGCTGTGGTGGCACCACACATCATCTCGTTTCCCCTTCACTTAGGGAAGAAACCAGCAGTTGGTACTTACTCTTGGTAAACATTTTGTCTAAACCTTTAAAGAAAAGTTTATTTTTCATCCACCTTAGTTCCCTCCTAGTGAGGCAACATGGTAGTAACAAACACTTGATTTGTTTTGTCCAGTGTGATGTAGGTACTAGGTAAGACTACAGCTAGAACTTGAGGATGCAGTTTTTACTACATACAGCGATACGACTGCACGCTGTGGATTCAAACCTCACGCTGCCATTTAAAATAGCTACTCTTTCTTCAACAGATCATCCAAGCGTCTTCACCGTGCCTGAAGCAGACATGAAGAGAATTTTGTGGGTGCTATCCCTTCCCATTATTACACTATTCTATTTGACTATACCAGATTGCAGAAGGCAGTTTTGGAGGAACTGGTTCCTGGTGACATTTCTGATTTCAGCAGCATGGATTTCTGCCATAACTTACGTTCTCGTATGGATGGTAACGATAGCAGGTAGGTACCTAAAGTGCTGCTGCTATGCAGAATCAAGCAATTGAGAATGACTGACAAAAGTTTTCTCCCTGTGAAGAGTTCTCCTTTCCACAGTTGTCAGTTAAGCAACACATGCTTTGTTGTAAGGAAACCAACCAACTAACAAACACCGCTTAGTTTGCCGCCTCCTTCCAGCTAATGCAAACCACTTTAGCTGCCTCAGACTGCTTACCATCACAGCAAGGAGAATTTGTTTACACAGCTACAAAAAGCAGCCTTATATTCAAAGAGAGACAGTTTCATTAAACTGCTTCATGAAGTGAAACAACTGCACAATAAACTTGTCAAGCTGAAGTCAGGCAAACATGGAATCCACCAGAACTGGAATTAAAGGTTCCAGGTTCTGTGTAAGATCTATGATTTCTATACCCATGTTTTCATTGAACACTATAGTAAGAAATTTGGCATTGTGTTAACTGTCAAAAAACCTCCCAAATTCTTGTACTATTTTATTTCAACTATAGCATCGTGTTTACATTAAACATTCTTGGTGTGCGTGCACGCATACCTCTTACAAACCTGCATTATAAAGTCAAGCAGCACATGAATTGCATGTTAGTGAGAGAAAGGGTATGAACTTCAGCATAAAAACATTCTCTTAAAAATATCTTAAGGTATTAAAAGTCACCTCATTTCACTGTTTCTCCAGTTTTTAATTTTAAGAACAAGCAGAAAACAAATCTCTAAACAAGAAAGAAATATTACAAAGCTTGCCATTTCCACATTATAGCTCACTAATCCTACTCAAGTATTCTGCTAGTTCAGCATCCTAAAGTTGTTAACTTCAGTTCAATGAATAACTCCTTGTTCAGTGCAGAAACAGACCTATACATCTGGTAAACCTTTGAGAAATTACTAGTGGATCGCTGGATGTAACACCCACCAGCTTCCCTCCTTGGTCTATTAAGTTTCCACTTGTATCTAAAGAGCAAGGGTTTGCTGTCTGAGTGCCAGAAGCCTTTGAAACAGATTCAAATGAAAGTTATTGCTGCTCTATTAGACAAAGCACTAATTCATATGAAAGCAGGTACACTGGAGAGTCCAACAGTGCAGTGGTGTTAGTTCGCTTTGAAGTCATCACAAGCAGTACTGGGGTTTCGGCCCGCTACTCCTAGGTCAAATATGTTCTATTTACATGTTAAAACTCTAAAAATTACACACACATTATATTCAAGTCCAGGTTCTCTCATGAAGGGTGACGCAAAGATTCTCCTGTTGCATTAACAGCCCATCAGAATGCCACAAACGTGTCATAGCTGGGGACTTAATGTTGATGGTCAAGAACAAACATAACTTGGTACATCTTTTTGTTGCTACAAAAGAAAATTTGACTACTTATAGCAAGATACTGCTACTCACACACAAAATTAACTACAGGCTAGAAAATGAATACCATGCTCTCTTCATGGTCAGTTGCCAGAAAAAACCCTACACATTAAACAGAAGATCAATCTATCTAACAAAAAGAAAGATTGGATTCACCTGAGTTAGAGTCTATCTTACAACCTTCAGAGGACTAGAAACTACCGCTGGGTACAGAAGGCTGGTTCATTCACGTTCCACCTTGGTTTGCTTGGCTTGAATCGTTATTTTCCATCCTGAATGGTTGATAAAGCTGATCTTCTTGGTCCCTCATTCCGCAAATCTCTTACATTAAGAGTGATGGAAGAATAAATACCAGTACCTATTCTGCAACTGGATGGTTTCAGTCCCTCTGAACCACAAACAGCTTCAAACGTCAATTTACTGGTCTGCTCTAGACTAAGCTGGTTTGTACCAGGCAAGCGTTGCTGACCTAGCCTGCAGAGTATTGCCGCCTCCTTTGAGAAAACTGTTCTTATGAGTGTCCAAATAATACGAGTAAGAATTCAGATTTCAGCATGCTGAGATACTTAGCGAGCAAGAAAGTTTAAGGAAAAAACTACAGAGGTATCAAGTACTTCAACATACTGATGCTTGTGGAGGGTACAACTATTAAAGCAATTCTGGAGATCTCAATCTGTGTGTTTTAAGCGAGAAATTAATATTGCTTATAGGATATGGGGCTAAAAAAGAGGTGGGGAAAATAAGATGCTGTTTTAGTAATAATTTAAAACTTTTCTTAATTTAAAGCAGTATTTTTCTAAGGAAACTCACACTTCTAAAGGATTGCTTGAACTTACAAGTCTCAAAAATTCTGCATTTTGATTCTTCCAAGTCCAACACACGAACTTGCTAATTGGAGTGAAATGGTAAAGCCACGTAGTTGAGACAGGAATGATCTTCATGATCCTCCTCCCAAGAAAACTCACGTGCTCTTTTCCTCCCCCTTTAAAGAGTGGGTGATTTTAAGTTATTGCTTCATAAGACTTGTGAGCACTAACGATGAGATGCCCAAAATCACAGAACACTACTACATTTTCCAGAAGGTGAAGTAAAAACAACCAAAAGAGTGACTTGTCAGGTATTTAAATTTCTGCTATCTGAAAGGAAAAAACCTCCTAATTGGTATTGCCTTGACCACTGGAGACACCACTTGGATCTCTGAGAAACTTGGTAAGATGGTTCCTCTACTGAATTCCTGTTTGTTTGATTGAAGGACAATCAATTTGTTGTTGTTGTTGTTAACTACTTCATGGTTCATTGACTTCATCTTTAGTCAAGCTAGCTGACATATTCCTTTTGAAATTACTGTATGATTACTAATCCTTTGTCCAGCAAACGAAGTCCAAAGCAATATCTTTGGATGAAGCTTAAACTAAAACCCTACTTGCATTTTCTACCGCTATTTATCAACTGCAGGTGAAACACTGGGGATTCCAGAGTCAGTAATGGGTCTCACATTACTAGCAGCAGGAACAAGTGTACCAGATACAGTTGCAAGTGTGCTGGTGGCTCAAAAAGGTAAACATTTCAGTATTCAGGCTCATTCCCACGGATGTGTTTAAAAGCTACTATTGAAAAAAAAAACCCCAAAGACAATTCTAGTCAACATTTCCAGAAATAAGGAGTAACTTCAAAGTTTTTGCTCAAGATTCTAGAGCTTAAAGTTTACTAATAATAAATCAATAGCTTACCTGAAGAAGCTGTGGCTCAGACATCTACAAACCTCTCAGAGTATCTCACAGAGGCATTCTAGACTGGTTTGATTTGTTGCTGATCAAGTGCAGTTTTACTGCAAAACACAACTGCAGCTCTTGGTATTTTAAACGTGACTGGGTTTTTATAACAGCCTGTCTAGCTTATTTTAAGTGCAACTGCGCAGATGCTGGTGATTTCGGGAGATTTTTCTCTTTATGCTTGCGGTACCCAAACCTGTGTTCTGTAGCATCACAACTCTGGTTCTTTCAGTGGAAAGTCCGGAAAGGGTGCTCTGTGAGCAACTGAGGGCTGACATCTGTTCCTCCAAAACAGTTTGGCAATTTCATACAATACAGCTTAGCAGACTTATTTGTATTTCTTCTTTTACAGGAAATGGAGATATGGCTATGTCTAACATTGTGGGATCCAACGTATTTGACATGCTCTGTTTGGGAATACCCTGGTTTATAAAAACTGCCTTCATAAATACATCAGGGCCCATAGAAGTGAACAGCAGCGGTTTGACATACACAGCCATTTCTCTTATCTGTTCTGTTGTTTTTATTTTTCTGGCAGTTCACCTGAATGGCTGGAAAATAGATAAAAAATTGGGAGGAATGTGTCTCGTAATGTACTCAGTATTTACTACATTATCAATTTTATATGAACTCGGCATCATAGGTAACAATCCTACGAGGGTCTGTGGTAACTAGTTTTAATCAGTGATTAAACTGATGGAAAAAATAAAAGCAGGAGAGAGAGATCAGTTTGTTCATTTAGTCAAAATGAAAAAAAACCCACAAAACCAAAAAAACCAAACCAAAACCAAACAAAGCTTCCACTGGGCTCTAAATCTTATTTACAGAACTAAGTCATGTCATTAAAGTAATATTAAAGTAGAACAAAAACATCACAGCCTAATTGGAGCCCTTTCTTTTAGTCAAGACTTACAGTATGACTACAACTCACATGGAACCAAAAGTCTGAAAAAAGACATCTAGTTTTTACATTACAATGCTGATACACACGGGGGTGGAAAATAAAAATAAGAAAACACTAAACAAATCCCACTATGCAACCTTGAGATTAACAGAGAAAATGGCTTATTTTATTAAAAACAGTATAACCATTCATTTAAACTGAATGACTAGAGACACTTGGCCTAATTTTCCAAAGGTGCTGAGCATCCCAAGCTTCCACGGTCTACAGGGACCTGCAGGTGCTCAGTGCCTCTAAAAAAACAACAAAAATCAGGCAAATTGTCTTTAAAAACCAAACATCGTAAGAGTCAGTTAACAAGTATCACAGTATATTAAACACTATACTGTTAAAGGCTGGTGGGATTTAAAAGTTCCTTTTTACAACTTTTGTAAGCATACAATGTTACTAAAAATGACTTACTAGGATAGAGAAGCTAAACAGACATAGGAATGTTCCTGAACACACAGTTTTAAATTATGCATTGCGATCCAAGCGTACATCAATTTCTCTGCCACTGATTTTTATGCCGTTCATTATCCTACAGGCCTTTTCAGCAGATTCTGGCGAGTCAAATCTGACTGTTCCACAGCCCTTTGATTTTCCATTCTCCATTTTTATTTCTGCAAACATTACATGACCTGAATAAATAAGTTAAACAGCAGTTATTGCAAGTCTTCAGTGCACTAACAACTTAAAGAACTCAGCAGAAGTGATAAAAAAGCATTTTAAAATGGGATCTAGAGGGACATTAGCACTTTCAGATTGATGGTACATTCACTCATTCAGGGAGGGTGACAGAGGTCAGAACGGCAGTGAAGAATCCACATTAAGATCCACCGTTTCCTTCACATTAGCGTAAGATGAAGTAAGCCTGTATCTGACCTCAGGGTTGAGACCTGGCGTGTTGCAGCACACTATTCCTGAGCTCCCACATGGCACTAGGAACAAGAAACTTTTCCCTAAAATACACAGTGTTTTATTTTTAAATACCATTTAACAGAAGACTGGCCTTTCACTGAGAGAAACTGAACATATGGAGACATGGTTTTCATATTTCCTTATGATACTAGTGTGAATATATTCTGTTGTGCTTATATTTGGTGCTTAGAATTCTTAAAAACAATTCGACATAATTACCACATCTGTTACCTGCTGAGGAGATAATGAAAAAAACCAAGTTCTGAACTAGCTGAAAGTTGCCCAGGCAGTTAAAAGTTTAAAAAAAGAACCTGTTTCACTATATCCTCCCGCAGAAAGAAGAAGGTGAACACCTGAGTGTTCATCTGGTGGAACTGAGAGTTCTAATTCACATCAAATCTGCAGTAGCTGCATGAAGACTGTCTTGGGCATCAACAGTATGTTTTAAATCATCTGTCTTTTCTGTCCCTCTCAAATAAGAAGAGCCATCCTGTAATTTAGTTAAAGCTTTCCCTTCTGAAAGTGCATTTTCAAAACAAAAGAATCATTTCTACACCCAGGCTTCATTTCTTATTCACTCCTGTGGAAATACAACTTTTCTGAATTAGATAAATGAATTACTGGATATTTGTAGCAATTCTTTATCTTACACAAATAGGGCCTTTGCTTCGTAACATAAAGGGGAAGCATTACAGCCTGCACGTATGCTAATCAGGATCATCTATTTGCATAAAAAACAATCTGCCACTGTGGCAAAATTACTAACACTGATTTGATGCAGCACCGTTTCTGGAAGTAATGCATAACCTGGACAGGCCCAGGCCCCCGCGTGCGTTTTTCTCCAAGTAAGTACTACATTACATATTCCACGTTGGCCAGAGAATACAAAATACCTGCTTCAAAAAACAGAAGTTCAAAGAGTAATTTTATTAATGGAATGGGTTAAAGTTTATAGCAGATGATCACTCGGAGCCAACACAGCCCATACTGTACCTTGGTTTCATGTTATGTCATGCCTAAAAACCATTTCTGTAATTCAGAAAAGCTGGGGAAAGTCAGAAAGATGAGGCTAGCCAGACTCATCTTCAGGATAAGGCAACAACCTTGTCGTCCTGTCCTTATCTAATGAACGCCATATAAAACATGAAGCCGATGGAGCTGAGCAAGGATAGGATTGCTATACATACCACATTGACTGAATTTCTCCTTTAGCTTCTGCCAGGTCAAGTCAAAAGGAAGCTAGAATTAAAAAAAACAACATTACTAACAACAAAACATTACAAAGAGAAAAAGAGCAATCAAATAAGCACAGGAAATAAGCTCATGGTTTCCATGCATTCAATTGCTTACGTTTCTCACAAATATCTGGTTGCCTTTAGAGCCTAATCTCTCTCTCATGCCACTTCCCATTGGGCCAGGCACAAATCCTCGATCGATATCGATGTTCCTGTCCAGGCCTCCACCCATAGCTGGTCCCATTCGATCAAAACCAGAACTCAGCCGATCCATCCCCATTCCCATTCCTCCAGCCATACTGTTCATACCACCCATTCCACCACCTACAGAATAAAATAAAGACCTTTTTAGTAATAAACGCACAGGTATTTTGTAAAACAAACAAACAAACAAACAAAACCCACCACACAAAACAAACTTTTCTGTCAGGAGAAAAATAACTTTCATAAAACTGCTGTAATATAAAACAACTTCACACATGCACAGTCATTTATCCAGTAGCATGGTAAATATTTGAAGGCAAAGTTTTGGAAGACAGAAAGCACCAGTTCTAAAAAAGTGAAAACCAAACTGCACCATGCTATTAATGAACACAAGTAAAGAATGAGGATTTAAAGGCTGTCCAGTTTAATTAATGAAAATCTGATACCCCGTAACACAAAGAGATCAAGTAAATAACTGTGGCAACGTTAAGATACAGATAATTTGACCACATACACTACTGTTAATTTTGCTTCCTTTGTGCCACAGCCACACTTACTGGCACAATCTTCTACAGAAAGCGTATTTTGCAGAGAACAGATGTTACTGCAAGTACAGTGAAGAGAACGGACCTTCCCATGATACACGCAATGAGATATATTCGTGTATATTACAGAAAGAACTAAGATCAATGGCATTCAAATATCCTATTATAATCTTTCTGAATTCATAATTAATGTGAAGCAAAACTATAAAGACAATTCAGGAGGGACCTCTCAAGACTGCCACTAGCAAGACGTTAGTTTCTCATCTACTCTGGCCTGAGGAACTCGGATATTTGCTGTAATACAAACTCAGTACTGGAGCTCTGCACAAAATTAAACTGAGTGATATCTGAAATTCAGTGCTATTTTTTTTTGTTATTTCAATGATGAGATTACTGAAGTTCTGCTCCATGAAGTTCACACAATAACTTTGCTCATCTGTCTTTTTTCTTACTTGAATCATTTCTCCCTCCAAACCAGAGGTTCAAACAATTTCAAAACTAAGATTTAGGAAAGACTATACGAGCAAGTTTTCCTCTGAACGTTCACCTCAACAAAACAGCCTTTAAAAGCTATTGGACTTGCAGTCACATGCAACAGAATTCTGCTTCTTGCAACACTGGCAAGACGCTACGCTGCCCCCAAACCCTCTCGTACAATTACAGGCACACCACACCATTACATTGCCCGTGTGTTTACGTTCTGTTGAAACAAGTCAACCTACTCATTCCAGATCTTACTGGGCCCATGCTAGGCGCTCCCATTCCTCCTGCAAAAACACCAATCATTGCACCACCTAAACAGAAAAGACAATGACATGACATACACTGAAAGCACCAGTTAGTGACAGCAACCAAAGCACACACTGATCTCAATGTTACCTGGCGATGTTTTTCCACAGAACACTTTAACCTGTGCCTTTCTTACTCAAACTAAACAGGAAACATCGAGTAAGTCACATTAGTTCCTCCTTCTCTGTCACAGGGCTTAAACTACTCTGATAAGTTTTTCTTCCCTCTGCCAGCAGCTCAGACATTTTAAAACCAAATGTGCCCTTTTCCATATTGGGAAGCACAGCCTCAAAACTGAAGGGTCCATCTTATTCACAGTACAGAAATGCCCTAGTTTCTCTTACTTTTAAGAAACCAATGCAAAAGCTAGGAGCAGCTCTCCCAATGTCTTTCTTTACTGCATACGAAGAGTGAATTGATGGAATTTGGTGGAAATAAGGGAGGAAGAAAGGGAATCGATAGCTTAATAAAAGCTATTTGGCCAAACCATGGAATCTCCAGGATGGTATCAGAGACTGATTCTGGAGTGCGGTAAAAATAACTCTTCTCATTGAAGTGCTAATGTTCAGGAAAGTAATCCCAAGGGATCCTCTCAAATTGTAGAAACTCGAGAGCGCCACACTCCTGTCACTGCAGAACAGAGCGGAACTGTCAGCTGCATTTTTCTTCCTTTGTTTTCATACCTAAAAGAAACAGCTTAGTTTTCACTTACAGCAAAATAGATCAATAGCCACCATCTTTAGACCAGACACCTTTGGTTTAGGATCTAAAAAAGGTCACTGCTGAGTCTTCCATTAGATTTGTTTTCTCCACACAGTTCAAAAAACCAACAATTGTTCCCTGCCAGTCTCTTGTGGGAAATATTTGTCTCCTCTCAGACAGCAGTGGTGTCATAGCCATACCAAGACCTCAGAAAACGTGGACTGGCCTGTTCAAGAGAACGACCAATTTCCAGCACCAGAAGGATTACCCCCAGTACTTCAGCCATCAGTTTGCATATGAGGAGTATCCTGATACTTATTCATTAGGCTAGGCCAGACGGTCTTGCAATGAAACACCAAGTCAAATGTTGGGATTGCTGACAGTAACTGGGTTTTGCCCTTAAACAGAATTGTGAAGAAAAAAAATAACCCCCACTTTTCCAGAGCTAGAAAACATTACTTGTTTGTGAGGGCACCCCAGTTACACCCAAAGCTCAAATAATCCTAATAAGCAAGACATCAGCTGTTTCTGACCTTAGAGGCATCCTTTACCTGTACTTTTTTCCCCGCTGGCTTTTCACCAACAAAACGTTATACGCTCAGAGATGCTCTATGACACAATTTGATTTTTTGGATATTTCAAAATTCAGGCAACTCAAACAGCAACTGGAATGATTCTGCTGCCAAAGATCCTCATTTTCATTAACTGAAGCCACAGCCCAATCACAGACTGTCGTAAGTTGCCCTCCTTGAAACTGGCAGGACACTAAAGCCAAATGCACTCACAGCATTTCCTCTTGAGGTACCATTCACCTAAACACAGTAACAGGAGTACACTAGGGTCTTCCTTGATTAAACATGGTATCTATTAACTATTCTATTCTGTAAATCCCTACAACCTCCTTCCAGTATTTAAGGTTGAGTTGGAAAACTCTTCTCTCGGCTCTCCTTGCAGTACTTAAAGGGTAAGACCGCTGACAGGTTGTAAGTTGAAGGTTGCTGGACCCACTGCATGAGTGACTTCCACGTCAGTCTCTCACTGGGGCCACGTTCATGCATTTCAAAACCGCTGCACATTCCCAGAAGACTCAAAGTCTATTGCTTGCATGAACATGGGTAACTGAAGTGGCTTTGGATTTTCACTTGGGAAACAGATGTTTATCCTATGCTGCAAGCACAGAGCGAAAGCAGACACTTGGTTTCTAGGACATTAATTCCAAGACATTAACACTAACTCACTGACAAGCTTATTACCTTCTTATCACCTCTACACAATTACCAGTGCTTGAAGAGAACTGCACAAGAGACACCCTTTGTCATGACTGCCCAAACTTAAAAAAAAAGCTGGGGGGGGGAAGAAAAAAAAACAACCAAACCAAACTGAACTTTTAGACCAGATAAACCTTATGCTCTTCAGCAGCTTCTCTTTCACAGCGGGGAAATTAAAGGAGAGGCAAAAGGAGAACCACAGGGAAGAGGGGGAAGAAAACCTGTCTTCTGTAATGCGCACTTGCAGGTAACAATACAGCAACAAAGTGCAAGAAGGCTCTACTGTTAAGCACTTCCAGGCCTCTTCAGACAGAAGAGTAAGGGAACCCAAAAGTAACAAAATGAACTCTGTCAACAAGACATCATCTAAAACAAAACAAAACAAAGCTGGCTCAGTTACAGAGGAGGCCAATAAATCCCATTCTGAGCTGTCTGAGCTCAGAAGGCAGGAAGCAAACAGAGGGCAGCAAAATTCACCAAAGTTCCTATCCAATGCTACCTGATTTGCAGTAAAAACAATTTTCCAGCACTTGCAAAAGCAGGCTCCTGGAAGTTACAAAGGTGCTACATGGGCAACTTGTTCAGGATTATCAGAAGCATACACTTTAACGCCCAGAAGACTTAATACCTCACAAAGTTAACAGTATGAAGCTAAATGCTTTCCTCAAATTGCTATTTTGTTTATATTTTACAGATGAAAATAAAACCAACCCACATTAACCTCCATCCTAAGTGATGGCTTTAATAAACACTCAGATTACATCCTTATAGTAATGACTGGGGGAAGAGGAGACAGAAGATGACCAAATGAAACCAGGTCTCCTCTTCCTGTAGTAAAACCTCTTCCAATACCGTGCTGCAATTTGCCACAGGAAATTTAACAGTTACCATACCCATCCTTCCAAAAGAATCTCCAAAACCACGGTTCAATGCCATGTCACCACGACCAAAATCTCTGTCCATGTTTCCTCCCATTCCACCACGGAACATTTCTGTAGAGAATAAAGCAAAAAAACCCCAGAAGTGCTCTGTTATAGACATCTAAGCTAATGGTCATACAACACTTGTTCCACAGCTGCTTGTTTAAATAGAAGTGGGTTTAATGCACAAGCCAGAGGCACTTATTAAATGCTTACCACATCAGTTCCTGTGCCTTCACTCGCACCACTGACTGTATTTCCTTTGAAATCATCTACATTACCCGTCCCAGGAGGAAGAGCTTTCAATAAATATATATTAGCAAAGTTAGAAAGTGTACAGGAGCAGCGTTCACCTACCTCCCATTCGGCTGACTCCAAATCCTCCCATATTAGGCATTCCTTCCATTCCACGAAGTCCAGCAAGTCCTGTAAAATAAGGAAGAGTGTTTTCTATGCAATATTACAAAAATACTTAGTGTAAAGAACTTCACTGCACGTACCGCCTCCCATTCTGTTCATTCTGCCGAATCCTGGACCATCTATTCCCATACCTTGAAACCAAAAAGACAAACACCAATTAGAAGACAGGCAAGATACTAAGGGATTTAAAAACCACAGAGACAGTTAACATCTCAAAAATCACACTACACAAGGCTTGCTTTGTCAAGAGTAATTCTTCCAAACACAGAAAAGACAATTTTAAGCTTAAAGCTCTGTAAAACTTAAAAGTTAAGAACACAGGTTTACCTCCTGGGCCTATGCTTCCCATTCCACCACCCATGCTCAACTGTGTTGCGCTGATGGGCTGTCCACCTGGCCCGAGTCCCATCCCAATGCCACCGAGACCGCCTTGAAAACAAAAGTATCACCAGAAGAAAGGGTTTCTGATTTAGGATAAAGAGATCACACTATGCAAAAGTACTACTAAACTGTTACAACAGTTGATATCAACATGCATTAAGCTCAAGTGGTAAAAAACTCTGCACTCACGAGGTAACTGTGAACTTTTGCTGTCTGTAACACGGAAATCTTCATGAGGAACTGATTTATCATCCTGGTAAAAAACAAGGACGTTATGCTATGATCCTTTCAATGTTTTGGCAGGCATGTACGGTAGAAAGAAATGCGAGCAACTTACCATTTTTACATGCATTGGTCTATCAAACAGGAATTGTCCATTGAACATAGCTGAAGGAATGCAAGTTAAGGAATCTAACCATGGAAGACAACGTAACCATTTCAGAAGAAACACTGTAATAACTTATGTTATTTCTGTACAATTTTCAGGAGTCTTATGTTTCCTTACCTGGTCTTTAGAATGCCAGTTCAAAGGCCAGAAGAGACTATACAAGCTGTTAGGTATATAAAAGTTAGTTACATTATGTCACATTCCCACATATTTTAAGCTTGTTCAACATTATCTGGAACACCTTTTTAGACTCTAGCGGTAAACTCAGTCACTACTAAAAATGTGAGCTGCACAGTATTACACTGCAGTCCCTTCATACTCGCTACAAGGCAAATAAGCACCATTTGCAAAACGAGGCTATCAGAGGCCATTACAGACTAGTTTGCATTTGATCAATTAATTTTCAAAACCAAGGATACATATTGCTTGAACAGCTTCAATTGCCTGTTCAAAGGTAACTGTTCCCATTCCTCGACTCTTGCCATCTTTATCTTCTTTGATGTCTGCACGCTTTACAGTTCCAGCAATGCTGAAGACCTCCTTTAGTTTCTTCCATCCAACTTTAAAGTCAAGCTACACACAGAAACACCTCAGTGATTTAAGTGCACGTTTCTGTTCTGCTACTACATTCGGAAAAGATTTTCTACGTAGTTGTAACTCTTCAGCTTCACAAAATGCTTGATATTGGTAAACTGTAATACAGGACTTTGTAATATACACACACTGCAACCAAACCCAAAAATATCAACTAAAAGCAACAATTTATACTTCATATATATATATATATATATATCCAGTCAGATTGAACTGGAGGGTTGTCCCTTTTCTGATGCACTGGTGTT